GAAAACCCAGGTTAGAGGAATAAGGTATGTGGACTCTTCCTGTGATAGAAGATCTAATATCTGGTAAATCAGCTATATTAGAATATGATCTGGCACTGCGAACATAAGAGTAGAAGGGATTTCCAAATCAGTTCATCAGATTTTCCCCCTCCCACTACTGCATGTGGTCACCATATACATCCTCTTTGTGGGCTTATTAGGTTGCTTCAAATTAATTCAGGTTGGGTTTGCCCCATCACCCACCCCCCTTCCCCCACAACCACGTCATAGTGGCAAGATGTTCCAGAAACTCACTTGTCCTGGTTTCCCCATCTGTAAGCTAAAGATTTTGACCTCTTTCATAAAGACTTCTGAGATGTACTGGTGAAAAGTACTATACAAGAGTAGATATTTTCATTATAGCTGCAATGCTGTATGAATACCCTTACTGTGTGTGCTTATATATTTATAATACTTATTTTTCTTAGAAGAGCTACAGTAGTAGACTAATACCACTATTTCTAGTCCTCACAAACAGATGACTAAAACACATGCTTCAAAACGTGTGGGGGTATTCTCACTGTCATCCATGGGACTATTGACTTGGCACAGTGAGGGATCTGAATATTTGGCCTTTCCTTTTGGCTTTTACAAGTCCAAAATTAGTTTGTCTTGAAGTTTATTTTTATTAAGAGTTTTGGCACATACATTTGTGTGCACGTGTGTTCTGTAATACAACACATAGGCTTTCTTTGGGGAATTAAAGGCTGAAAGTGCAGAACTCCAATGACATAATGTTTCCTTAGGAAAGAACTGTGGCATATGTGGCATCTATATCATGCAATATGAGTTTATTATGGCAAGCCTGAATTTTTATGGGGTGCAGGAGCATTAAGCGAGATATATATATAGATATACATATATAAAAAAATGGACATTCCAGAGCTCAGTAGAGGATTGTTAACTTAGAAGGCACCCCTCAACCTTTTTTTCTTTTTCTTTTTTTTTTTTTTTTTAACCATTTCTCATTACAAGCAGCCTTTCAATTGCTTTAGTTGAAAGAATTTGTAGAAAATCCACTCTCTGGGTTTTTTGGCATGCTAATTTCTCTGTTTGCCAGCATTTTTCTCCTTGCTGGTTTTACCCTTCCCCAATGCTAATCGTTTTCTCTCCTATTTGCATGAGGTCTCCATGCAGCAAGAGGAGAAACGGGTTTTGATTCTGTGCTTTGGTTTGTTTTTTTAATAGGGAAATAGCTTGTAAATTCCATCACCTTTTCAAGCTCTAAATATTGGCTGGGGAATCTGAGGCAGCAAAACGACCCAATTCTACTTAGAATGTGATTACCTAAGGCTGCAAAGTAGAGAAGTCTATATAAAAAAAAGTCTTAAAGCATGGTATCGTACTCAGCTTTTTAGGCCAGGATGGATCAATATGGCCTTTCAGTATGCTCTTCCCTAGAATGCAGGTCATATTTCTTGCATTTACACCTGCTTTTCTGCATATGAAATTTAAACCTTATATTATGTTACACAATATTAACAATTATCAAAGCTGGCATATTGTTTTTGTTCAAGGTAGATACTATGCTGTGACACTATTATATTTATTGTATTACACAAAGAGTTGCCATTTTAAAGGATAACTATCTACAATTTTTAATGGAAGCTGTTTATTTGTTAGAAACTTGTTTGCACTAGTTGTCATTAAGCATTACAGTGTAATTGTTCTGACTGAACACTTAATAGCCTGGTCTATATTCTCCATGTTTATTGGGTATCTTTTTCAGGTTTGTTTTTGTTGCTTTGTTTTGGTGAGGTTTTTTTCAGTCACGGTGATGTCCAATTTTGTTAACTGTTCATTTCATTTTACAACCAGATGGTTTTCTTGTGGGGGTGATCATCAGAGATATGTTCATCTGGTTGAAGATGGCTAGTTACAGCTCATTTGGAAGCCAAAGTAGTTAGTCTTCAAGTTTACCAGATGTGGCTAGCAGAATTTTTCCTTCTTAGGACCCTTCATATGTTTCAAAGGCTAGGAGCTGGGTCAGTGAAAATCTTTGCAATGTGGACTTTGACCTTAGGGGTCTGATCAGTGACCATGAGTGAAATACAGACTATGAGCAACTTTGAAACAGCTGCTGGTAGAGCACTGACTCGACTTGAATAGCCCATGGGTATCTGAAATGGTTGTTAATACTTGGAGGGATTGGTTATCTATTCTGAATGGCTTTTACCCTATGTCCACATAGAGCTGGGATCTCAGCTCTTCTCCTGTACTGAGCCCAGCTCAACAGCACAAAGATGCTGTTGCTTTCTAGGTCAGCCTTTATGGGAGTTTTATATGAATTATGGAATAGTTTTGTGAGGCCGCAACTGTGATTACAGGTTTAATGATGCTTTAAACAAACAAAAATGTAATGACTTTCATCAGTGTAAAACAGGAGCTTCCTGCAGGGAAACACCAATAAATGTGACTTCACGGCAGGGGTACAGACCTGGCTGGCAGCCAGCAGTAATCGGCACACCACATAGACCTTGTGTGTTAACTTAATTATAGCACAGTGCAAGCAGCAGCTAGACAGTTTGCTGTGAGGAATCACTGCCAGCGTGGCACAGAGTCCATGCATTTAAAAGTTACCCATCTGATCCATGGCTTTAGGTAGTGAGAGGCTAGGACTGTCATTGCCAGTTTAGCCTTGTGCTGTGACACAGCAATCTCACCTTTGTCAGGGAAGCTCCGGTGGGCATGAGAGCCTTCAAATGGCACTGGGGGCGCTCTAACCTCTCCTGTATAATCTCCAAACACCTTTTGCCTTCTCTGCAACCTCTAATCCTCAGGAATTTATGAAAGGAACAGATACTTCTGCTACTTTCTATAATGCAATTAATGGTCGGATTCCTTTTTTCTCTTTTTTCCTCTTCATTTCATGGCTTTGGTGTACCTTTTGTAAGTTCCTGGGAAGGGCAAGCAATCTTATTTTGACTTCAAAATCATGTTCAAGTAAGCCTGCATCCTACTACACATTTGGTTGGCACATGGAATAGATATTTATGGTTTATTTGGATACTCTGACTTTTGGGATTCTGTTTCTTTCAGCATCATCCTGAGTCAGGTCCCAATGTGCTGTACCATTGACTTCAAAGGAAAAAAAGTTTCTCTTTCAGAGAGATTTTGGGTTGGAAAATTTTAAAGCAAGTATACCTGGAAGATCAGACATGGCATCATGCAGTTGTTAATAGGATAGCTAGAATCCTTTTCCAGGAAATACACAGTCAATAGGAAAATTTTTATCTGTGACTTAGTAAGAAGTTGTCTGTGATACTGAACTCCTCCCAGTAGCTACTTATCAGCAGTCATATGAAGAGATACTCAGCAAGGAGAGAAATAGATGGAGCAGCTATCCTTGTGTTAGAAGGATACAAGACTGTATACAACAGTGCCACGAGTGTTGGACACTGTTAAAGCAGAGTCCTGTGCTGGTTCTTCAGTTACCTTCATGCAATAAGTTAAAACAAGCCAGTAGCTTACTCAGCAGTTGTTCAGTGCTTCAGCTATACACACAGCCTTTCCGCATGCTTTGTCGCTCAGGCAAAAAAATGTCATAAAAACAAATACTTCAAGTCTCTTTCGGAATCAGAATTTCATAGATGGCTATGAGAAGTGGGGGGACATGGGACTAACAACATTTTCAAAGCTGGAAGCTTGTCTTTAATCAAAGTTTAACAGGTGAATTTGAGGAATTAGTATGATAGTGAATCTCCTAGGTTGTATTTTGTTATTTGCATGATGCTAGTTTGATACCTAAGGGATTCCACTGAGTTTTAATAATGTTTCTGCTGATCTTTTCAAAAGGGAGGCTCAGATAGGAAGTGCTGTATGAAATTCTCTGGTTTGTGTTCTGTATAGGTCTTGGCTATGTAAACCTTGTGACCCCAAAGCCTGTGGGTTTTGGTGGAGTAGGTAAGAGAAGGAAACCCATTTCATTTCCCTACTCTCTGAGTTTAAGGATCCCACCACAATGGACCATTGTTCATTATCTTAGCCTGTGTAACTGAGGTTAGTATTATAGTCTCTGTTTTGTGGTTGGACAGGTAGTGATTTAGGGCAATTGCATGTTTTGCTGAAGATGACATAACAATCTGTTTGCAGAGTGGGGAATGCAACTCATAATCTCTTGACAGCAGTTCATCTGTCTTGTGCTTGTAGACACCCTTAGCTTGAGAAGTTCATTTCAATAAAACAGCAGATGAAATGTGTGACTATTCTGCGAGTATAGTACATTCTGGAAGGAAAGAAAAGGTGGCCAGGAAGTTCTGTCAGACTGCTTTGGAAAACATGTATTTCCAGAAACATATGAGTAGCAATGGGGTTTAGGGCACGCCTGTGCTGTGTAGTGGAGCAGAGGCAGTTATGGGTGTCATCTTGCACTAGCACAGCTCTACAAGTTTCCAGTTCTACAGCTAGGTTAGACATCTCTGCATCACAAATCCCATTAAATAGTGTATTTATACTTCAAGTCACTTGTTGCCAGAGGACTTAGTCTCCTAAATCTAAAAAAAGTTTTTGGAAACAGTTGATTTCCTGTCTGCAAAAAAGGGGACATGGACCATTCTTTTGTCCGTACTTCGTGTTTATGCAGCAAGGAGCAGGTCTGTCGTTACAGATCCTTACCTCAGTTGGGGTCTCTACAACAGATAATTGTCTTTTATGCTACTTGCAGTACTAATTCAGCTCCAGAAGGAGGAGCCTTAAATTTTATTTGCTGCTTGCTTTCTTCTGAGTAGTTCCACTAATGACCCTTGTTAAGATCGTAAATATGTTTATCTTCCTGATGTAAGTGTGCAACTTGCTCTCAGCTGATTGCCTCATCACTATACTGTCTGGAGAGCCATCAACTTGCAGACATAGGCCATATTCTCTAATTATTCTTGTAAAAGAGCAACTAATGCCTGCTTCTGCCCTCCACAGAGTTTACACATGCAGCACCTTGATATAATGTGTTCTGATGTTTCTTCTAGGGATTTGTGTCATGTATGGAACGGTACCGAAGAATTGGACAGGAGCTGTATGCCTCTCTATACAAGAACCACATACAGGTAAAGAACAGGAATATTGTGCAACAAGTTTCTGTTGTTTAAAGGATGCTCTTGGACTACCCTGAGAAATCAGGCATTTCAGAGGTGAGATCATTAGTATGCCCAAAGAAATGCTGAGAGTCGATGAGTCAATGGGTCAATACTCCATTCCTGACATCACTACTGAAATGTGATATAACATCACTCACCAGTCAGATTCTGGACTTTATTTTCAGGAGCCTTTTTTCTTTTGTTTAAATGAATTATTCTAATCTCCGTGGCAGAAGTGAAAGTGAGGACTTTGATCTTTTTTTTTTTCTTAGCAGCCAGTAGAACTTTTCAAGAGGTCTCAAGCTTGTAGCCAGTAAATTTTTCAGGTGTGTTTCCATTTCAGGATTGGCCATCAGAGACCAACAAGCTTTTCATTCTTTGAAATTCTGACCTCTTCTCTCCTTTAAATTGATATTTTAGTGCCCCTCAACTCCCTGCACACACCTCCTAAGTAGAAATTGTTAAATTTATGCCCTGTTTTGAGGGAGCACATTACATTTCTGAGTGAGACTTTCAGACTGTGTTTTCAGTGATCATAGTTGTTGCAATTTGACACAAGCGTTCACCAGAAAAAAATTGAGTGAATAAAACTTCTGTAATGCTGTTTTCCTGGCTCACTGCTTTTCAGTTGGAAATCTAATGAAAGCAGCCATTTTCAAGAAGGTTGAAGTTTCTGACATGCTTATATTTGTCGCTGTATCTTAGATTGACTAGTAATATCTCCCACAGCACTCTTTCAGTGGTCAGTTGGAACTGTTTGCTGGGGTCTGCAGTGGTCTCATCCAGTAGGTTGGGTAGATTCCTCTGAGTCACTGGGATGGTGCCACTGCTGAATGGGAGGAGGGAAGTATGCAAGAGTAGCACAAAGTGGTTCTGTCCCACAGGTGCTGCAGTGTGGTTACAGCAAAGCAGCCAAGGACTGGATCATACTTGAGAAGCAACTTTTCTACAGAAGGAACCCATGGGGAGATGCAGCACAATCCTTGGAGCTACGATGGATTCTTGATTGTTATGAAGGACCTTCACGAATGAGGAGGAGGATTCAGCATGCGAACACCCGAGCGACAATGATGCGAATGAAGAGTGAGGTAGAAAGCTTTTGCAGGAGGTGCACAATTTCTGTTGCTGGTGACTTTATACTCACCTCTTTCCTCTATTTCTTATCACCTGACTCATCAGTATGCTGTTTCATGCATAGAGAACCCACTGAATGGGTCTGGTTTTGAGAGAGTAAGAGAGATTGCAATGCGTTTAGCAGCAACAGAATGGTTTTCCCCTAGTATAAGGTCTCCCCAGATAGATGAGAGTATAACCTGACCATACTTTTCTGCTTGTAATATCTCATGGGTAGAGCATTTCCCCATGTATGCAACAAAGTGCAGTTAGAAGGCTGCACTGTCCTGTTAGTTTTATGCTTAGAGCTACTAGGACTGGTGCATCATCAAAAGGGGAATTAGAGAGGTTTGAACTAAGTTTTGAACTGCATATGTGGGGTATTTACTACTGTCTGTCTCTACAGTGTCTAATTGCCAAATCCTATCAACTGGAATGTGAAGCACTTTAGTATATCAGGAGGTTCCCAACTCTAGGACATTTTCAGCTTTTATGTGAAGCTTAGATTCTGGCAGTTTTCTGTAGACTGGGTGGTATGATTTTTTTATCCTATAACTGGCCTCATGCAGGGTCGTCTTTGAAAAGGCAATAGTCCTCTTGCTTAATTGTTGATATTTGTTCCTGCATTTAATTGTTCTTTTGGGTCCTTTCAAATGAGTGTACTTGAATTTCTGAGGCATTTATTTTTAACATAGTTCTAAATCTGTGGTTTTCTCTGCAACAAGGTTCTGAGTTATGTTCACCTGTCTGCGTATTCCACTCTAGTCATATCTAGTCTCTTTTCAGGTTCTCCTAGGAAACAGAAATGAAACAACTTCCCCTGCTGAAGTGAATCCAGGTAACCTTTTAGGGCTAAATTAAATCATCAAGAGGGTGGACACAAACAGTCAAAGAGAATTAGAGTTATTGTATGAAGTTCCAAGTCAGAATTTCATCTAGTGAAAAAAACTTAGCTAAGAAGTAACTTGAACATCTGGGAAAAAACCTGATGCAATTGTTACAGGTGGTATATAAGCTGTCTTCAGAATTTGTTACTCTTGTTGCCACCAGAAAGATCTGGAAACAAAATAGCTATCTTAAAATGAAAGTTTGGGCATTACTGGACACCTGGAAAGCTCCCAACTGCTTAAACCCAGAAGGAAAAGTGCAGACTTTCCCCCTGTTTTCAGTAGACACTCCAGTTCTACCTCTGAAATAGTATTGAAAACAAGGTGATAGATGGCTCAGAGAAGCAGTAATAGGAACTTTCCAAGAATGTTGACAAAATAATGGAGAGTGGAAGGAAATCACCAAGAAAATTAACATGTCAAATTGGTTTTCAGTGTTCAAAATAGAACCAGATTTTTCAAAATATGATCATTATGTCAACATTTATTGTTTTCCAAGGCCTGTTTTTTTGTTACTTGAGACATTAAAAGGGGGGGGGGGGGGGGGGGGCGGGGGGAAATTTTTTTGTGAAATACAGAAGTCAATAGTTTTTTCAGATGGAGGATACATTGAGAAAGAACTGTAGTTTGGAAGTGTCAGCCAAGTCTAAGGCTGTGGATTTCAGCCACTTGTATGGCTGGTCCAAGTCATGCTTCTAGTGTACACTGTTGGAAATAGGCAGTATTGTTGTATACTTTTTAGTGTGATAGCACCTAGAAATCAAGTGAGTGGACCTCAGTGTTCAAGATTCCAAATAAGATTGAAGTACTACATAGTTTCTACATGAAAGTGGTTACAGTCTACCTCAACTGATCATGCCTTCCCTAACTGCATGCACTACATGAATTTGCAAAACTTGGGACACAGCTTGGGCAAGATATGAGTGGATTGTCTCTTCTTGGGTTCTCTTAACATGCTGCTCAGTGCATGTCCCCAAAAGACTACTGTTTTGTTTTTCCTGGTTTCATGTGAGTATGTGAGCAGATTATTTTTTAAAATTATTTGATTATCTGATGATCAGTCCAACACATTGCAGAAATGAGAATAAATACATTTGTTTGATATGTTTGAATCTTCAGTGATTATAGGAATTTAATTTGAATTATGAATGAGTGCAGTTCTCTGTTTTTAGTTCCCTGAACTAAGCATCCTTCTTTAGCAGTCACAGATTTTACTTCTCTCTTGCCTGTCTTTTGCAGATAAATAATGCTATTTCCCAAGGCAGAACAGATTGGGTGAAAGTCTAAATTGCAAATGCTTTTGGTATCATCCGGCTGCCACTAAAACTGCAATCTCTTTTATACTGATATAGGAGAGCTGATGTTAAATGGAGCAGAAAGGGAGATGGAAAAGAAGGGATCAGACTGTAACCAGCTAACGTTCTTCCCTGCTCTACATGAAAGTTTCCATTCAGAAGACTTCTTGGAACTGTGTGTGGAGAGGCAAATTATATTGCAGGAGTTTGCAGAGAGTGAAAAGGTAGGAAAGATGAACTAGAAATTTCTTTTTTCTGGGGAGATGGCATTTTAGAGGGTGTGGAGGCCTATCTGCTCCTTTGAGTTTGGGGTTCAGGTGGATTCAGGCCATAGGAAACAGCATCACTATCTGTTCCCTTAGAGCAATTACAATTGTCCAGCCTTTGTATGACCTCCTATATAGACTGATTCTTGAAGAACATTTAACATTAACTCTTTGAAATAACAGAAAAAAATTTGGGCATGTGACCAAGCTATTCTTGTACCTGTGCGACAGTATTGTCTCAATTTGCATAAGACATGGCAAATTATGAGACTCTGAGAATTCCTGTCCTGCTTCCCCACCTTTACTCATGCGCAGAGCAGTGTTTGATTCGAATTTATTTATTGCCTCTGGAAGAGTATGCCAATTTTGTATAGGTTGTTATTTCAGTGATGTTTAAATCTCTTCCTGCTGAATACCAGGAAATATTTTCTTCCTCCCTTCACATGCCTTTTTCTTCTCTGCCTCCCCATGAGTACTGCACAGATTCTTCCCTCTAAGACCATAGAGACTTTCCCTGCTTCCTGTTTGATGCTTCCATCCTGTGTCATCTAGTCAAAACAGTGCTGTTCCTTCTTTTTTCTTGTACTGGACTGGATGCCCTTCTCCCAGGTTTCTTCCCAGCATAAAGAAGAGGCAGGTTCAGGAACATTGCGGGGAGGACACGAGCTGTGGAATAAATAGGGGTGACTCTTAAGGGGGGTGGTAACTTTGGTCTGGTCTCAATTTAATCCCTTTGCTCAAAAGCCAGCAACCTGCCCTTCACTTTCAGTGTAGTCCCCACAATGGTGGCTCCAAATCAGATCCTTGATGTTGGATATGCGCTACACATAGCCATTTTCTGCAGGACTGTGAGAGATTTTCTCATGAGGCATAGCTCTAGCCTTATTCTCTGATCTTTTGCAGTGCACCTGTGGCATCATTTCCCCCTGTTGGCCCAAGAACTAGCATCCCATAGTGGAAGCCAAGGGTCAGACTTGGATTATTAAAACTCAGCCATCACAGTGCTAACTGTACATAGATATAGAAATAATTATTTTATTTTTATGTCTCAATACCATCACCAAATTTTCTTGATGCTTTGCCAGTGACTGGGGGTCATATTTGTCCTCTCTAACATGATGGCTTCTTTGTGCTCTTAGAGCTTTTGGTACACTGTCTGTCTATACAACATAATTCTTTTCCCTGCCTCTCCTCCTTTCCCCCCTGCCCCACATACCTCTACCCAGCAGAAGGACACAAGCATGAAAATGTGAGGCATGTTTTCTGTGTGCTGATCTTATTTTGAGCCTTCAGGCTGTCTGTCTCTTTTCCATGTAACTCTGCAGGAAGCCATCAGAAACGCCAGGCATGTTTTTTTCCAGCAGCAGTCACTGTGTTGCCGAGCTGACAGAAGTATTAAAAAAAGCAGTAGGGGGTGATATTAGCTGTCCTGCGCTCACTTAGTGCGCTGTAGTCCTGCCTTGTAAATGACTGCCTCGTGAGCTGTTTGCGCTTTAAGCAGGCAACTGGAACCATCTTACCTACTGCACTGCACAGAAATGTCATTGTGATGCTTTGGCAGATACCAGATTGATTTCTGGAACACAGGGATAGCCCTTCTCTGGGAAGTGGTCGTTGTTTTATGTCACCCAGTGCTATTTTTTTGCATTACCATTAAACAGACACCTTTGTATGTATTCAGATATGTGAAATGGCTTTTTGCAGAAGCAGCAGATCAAATGCTGTTGATATTTTTGGTTCAGAGTCTGTTTTCAGCAAGTTCAAGCAGGAGAATGTGGGTGCAGGTGGAGTATTGTCATGCTAATATCATCTAGTCTTTTATTTTATCTTGCTTGCAAAATAGACTAGAAATATTCCTGTTAAAATTAATTTTAAGTACTAAACAAGATGTGTTTATCACTTGGACTGTGAAAGAAAGGGACTATAAAGGAGAAAGCAAATGGATGCAGTTTCAGTATAGGCTAAGGAAGGAAGTTACTGTGTGGTGAAGGTTAGTCTCTGACAGAGTGGAGACTAATTGTGTGAGGGAGCAGTCATACTCTGTGTTTGAACAACACCCAGACTATGGAAAGTTCAGCCTTCAGATATGCCCTTTTATGATGGTTTTTTTATGTGCTAAACTAGTCAGAGGAACATGTTTCCCAGATTCAAGATTCAAACACTCTGAATTTAGGAAATGCCAGAAATCAAGACATTAATGACAGATCTGTGCAATTATAGCCTTTAATGATTTTGCCATAAGACTATCCCTTCTGCTTTACCAGTACATAGGGTGGAAGGTGTGTGTATCCAAATCCATGCCTTCAAAGTAGTATTTAGTTGTATTGACCATAAGTCTGTCACTTCCAGCTAGGATCCTTGTAATACATATAACTGAACCTTCTGT